CACAGTGTGATGTTTCTTAAATATTCACATAGATGAACTCCGAGTTCTGGCTTAGCCTAGCATCTGTGGCTCATGCCTGTAATCCTAGCTACTCAGAAGGTGAGATCTAAGAATTGAGGTTGGAAGCCAGCCAGGATAGAAAAGTCCATTTAGACTCTAATTAACCTCCAAAAAGTTAGAAGTGGAGCTGTGGCTCAAGTGATGAGAGGCATCCTTCAGTTAACAAGCTAAGCAAGAGAGCACTGGCACATTCCTTTCACCCCTCCCCCAAAAAGCTCTGGTTTAGGGGACCATGGCTGGGAAGACAGTGAAGTCTCTGCTTCTAGGCACTCCAGTCCCCTAGACTGGTGAGATCAGAACCAGCATCCATGTAGCACAGGATGAAGGAGAATGGAGGAATAAGTCAAACGTGTCTACAAATGTGTCTAGTGAGTATTGAATCCATTTGTTCTCCTCTGTGACCCCGTGCACTTGGTCTGGAACGTCCTGCCTGCGACAATGTGCTCAACAACATACTTGGTGTGTCTGTCAGCAGTCACCAGCCCAGTCTCCTGCCCTGGAGGCTGGTGCTCGACCTCTGCCTCCTCCGCCACAATGCTCACCACATTCAACTCTTGAAACCAAACACTGCTTCCTTCTCTGGAACACCTTTACCCTACCCATCACAACTGCTCCCTCCAGCTGCATAGTAGGCGCTGTCTCCTAAAACAGACTTTTAAGGTCTTGGCCCTATCTCTGGTTATCTCATCTGTAGCATGATGATTTCCAACGAGTCTGACCAGGACAAGAGGTCATTCATGCTGGGTAAAAGAACAGAAAAATCAGGCCCTCGACTGGCCACCACCTTGTCCAACCCAAGCATAGGTGTAAAAGCAAGTAACCAAGCCGGTAGCTCATGCCTGTAATCCTAGCTACTCAGGAGGCTGAGATCTGAGGATGGACACTTGAAGCCAGCTTGGGAAGACAAATTTGAGAGACTTATCTCCAATGAAGCAGCAAAAAGCCAGAAGTGGAGATATGGCTCAAATACTAGAAAGACAACCTTGAGTGAAAAAGCTAAGAGAGCATGATGCCCTGAGTTCAAGCCTCATTATTCACACACACACACACACACACACACACACACACACAGCCTTAAAAAAAAAAAAAAACCTCCCAGGCAAATCACAGTGGCAGTAAAGGGAAAGGGCTATGTCTATTCTTTGGTGAAAATACTAAAGAAGGAAGCATGCTATTTTAAATGTTAATTTTTGTTGTTGTTGTTGTCATCTTGGTTTGGGTTTTTTTGTTTGTTTTTGGTTTTTGTTTGCTGGTCATGGGGCTTGAACTCTGGGCCTGGGCGCTGTCCCTCAGCTCTTCAGCTCAAGGCAAGCGCTCTACCACTTGAGCCACAGCGCCACTTCTGAATTTATGGTGGTTAATTGGAGAAAAGAGTTTTTTGGACTTTCCTGCCCAGGCTGGCTTTGAACCGTGATCCTCAGATCTCAGCCTCCTGAGTAGCTAGGATTACAGGCATGAGCACTGGGGCCTGGCTTGCTCTTCCTGACTTCTGAACCTCTCCTCTGTCCCCATTGTCCGCCTACATACTGCCTGTCACTGTTGGTGCCTCCTACCCATAAGTGGACTGTTGTGCAAGGCTGTGTCTTCTTCTGCGGTCCTTTCTCTTCCTTCCCCCGCCTCAGCACTGTCTCATGTCAAGATTTCAGCTGTGATTTTAGGTGTGACTTCTTCCTCTTCCTCTTCTTCTTCTTCTTCCTCTTGCTCTTCCTCCTCTTCCTCTTCCTCTTCTTCTTCTTCTTCTGGCTCACACACTACCACTTGAGCCACAGCACCACTTCTGGCTTTTTCTGCTTATGTGGTGCTGAGGAATTGAACCCAGGGCCTCATGCATGCAAGGCAAGCACTCCTACCACTGAGCCACCGTCTCCACCCCTGAACTGAGTTCTTTTGTAACTCCAAGCTTTCAGGGTGGCCTTGGATTGCATCCTGACCATTAGCCTCGCATCTAATTATCAAAGTCTATTTACTGGCTCCAGGTCCAGTCTCTTTTTTTTTTTTTTTTAAATTTAATTTAATTTTATTTGTGAACATACTGTACAGAGGAGTTACAGTTACATGGGCAGGATAATGCGTACATTTCTTACCAAGCATTGCAGTCTCCTCCTTTGTTTATCCTTCACATCCCTTCCCAGCCTCCCCCCTCCCCCCCTAATCCCAATCCTTCTCCTTCCCCCCAGGTCCAGTCTCTTTATACCATCTTCTTCTTTCCAACCCCTGTGTCCCCAACCAACCCAAGGTGCCATTACTACTTCCTAGCATTATTGCAGAATCCTCTAACTGGTCTCCCCACTTTCAGTCTCCGCATTCTAAATCAACCTACATCAACCCTGACAGATTTCCATCAGCAACCTCAGTTGAGATTTCTGCTCCACCTGTAACACCTTGCTCTGGCTGCCATTCAAGGCTATGGGTGGTGCATGTTAACCACATATGTTCTCTAAACACAGCTTTATGCTTCTTGCTGTAATTAGAGTCTGTGGTGGCCACAGTGCCCACGTGTTAAGGGGTAGCAAGCTTGCCTATGGTGCCACTGAGAGGAGGTGGGGCACTAGGAGGCGAGGCTGGTTAGGAAGGCTTAAGGCATTGGGTCCAGGCTCTTGAAGGGGATTGTAGGACCCCAGCTCCTCCTTTTTTTTTCTCTTTTTGGCTCTTTTTGCATTTTGCTTCACCCTGTTTCCACTCTCATGTGCGGTTTCACCAAAAGCCCAAAGCAGTAGAACCGATCGATCACAGACTGAAACCTCCAAAATGGAGCCAAGACGAAACCTTTGCAAAGTTCATTTCTCTTGCCTATTTGTTACAGTGGTAAAAAGCTGGCTGATACCTCCCCAATCCGTTTCTTCTGCATCCCTCTGGATACCCTCAACCAGGTGCTTTGCCTTGCTGTCATGGTCTGGGCCACTCCCCCTCTTTTGCCTTGTATCACAGCAACACCAGAGCTTGTTGCTTTTCATCTGTTCCTTTTTCCTTCTGTGCTCCACTTTATACCAGTTGTCTGTGCCAGAAAGACCAGCCTTGTTCCAGATTTCTCCTGCCCTTCTACCTGGCATCCAAGTGTCCTCAGGTCTGCCTCTGAAGATCTGACTCCTCTCTAACCCCTTCTCTGCATCCGCCCTTTCACTACGATAGCTCAGGCCATCCTCACTCAGAGAGCAAGGGCAGGCAGGATGTGCCATACAGGCTGAGGAACAGGTAGGCAGCCTTGCGTCTCTACCCTGCTCATTATCCATGTACCTCAGAAAGCTGCTGAGTTTTCTGAGCCTGTTTGCTCACCTGGAAAAGAAGATTTACAAACAAACACAACATTCTCAACATGTATGTATATATACCTATATATACATATACATGTACCTATATACATATGTGTGTGTGTATATATATATATATATATATATATATATATAAGTTGAATGTCCAATGGCAATAACTTATGCCTGTAATCCTACCTACTCAGAAGGTTGAAATATGAGAATTGAGGTTTGAAGCCACCCAGGGCAGAAAAGTCTATTAGACTCTTTTCTCCAATTGACTACCAAAAAGGTAGAAGTGGAGGTGTAGCTCAAGTGGTAGAGTGCTAGCCTTGAGCAAAAAAGCTCAGGGATAGCACCCACTTTCTGAGTTAAAGATTTCCAACCCGCCCCCCCCCCCATACATACAAATGTACATATTCCTTAACCAAAGTGCTCCAGATTTTGTTCTGATTTTGGAGTATTTGCACATACATAATAACATCTTGGGAATGTGGCCCAGGTCTAAACATGAAATCAATTTGTGTTTCATATGCATCTCACACCCATAGCTTGGAGGCAATTTTGGGTTTTGGGGTTTTGTGTGTGTGTGTGTGTGTGTGTGTGTGTGTGTGCCCATCTTGGGCCTTGAACTAGGACCATGGCTCTGTCTCTGAGCTTTTGTACTCAAGACTAGGGCTCTGCCACTTCAACTATATTTCTAGTTCTACCTTTTTGGTGGTTAATTGGAAATAAGAGTCTCACAGACTTTCTTGCCCCGTCTAGCTCCAAAAACAATCCTCAGATGTCAGCCTTCTGAGTGGCTAGGATTACAGGTGGGAGCTACAGAGTCCTGGCTGCCTGGAGACAATTTTATAAAGTATTTTTAGCGTCCCTGTATTATAACAATCACATGAGATCATGGGCTGAATTTTCCACTGTGTCAATGTATCAATATGCAAAAAGTTTCAGACTTTGAGACATTTCAGATTCCTATTTTATTTTCTTTTTCTCCCAGTATTAGGGATTGAACCCAGAGACCTCGGCATGCTAGTGAAGTACAACACCCACTTAAGCCACGACTCTAGCCCTTTTATTTCTGAGATGAGGGTTCTTGCTAAGTTTTCCCAGGAGAGTCTCAAACTCACTATCCTCCTACCTCCACCTACTGAGTAGCTAAGATTACAGCCTTATGCTACCATACCCAGCTCAGATTTCAAGATTTTTAGATTAGAAATATTCAACCTGTACATAGATAGACAGATGCAGAGAAAAAGACACAGGGAAGGTAAAATTCACACACACACACACACACACACACACACACACTGTACATACTCATATGATTATACATTAATGATGTTTTTGTTTGAGTCTATTTAAAATACTTCCTAATTTACCTGGCTGCAATTATACAGGAATAGGAACATACATAGAATAAAGGGATGGTGCTAGTGGAGGTATTTTTAGCTCAGCCTCTAAGACCATTGATGCTGTAGGCCAGCTGTCTCTAGTCACAACTTCTGTCACTCTGACATGTCACCTCCTTTGAGGGCTTTGCTGACCTTCCCAGGAGGATAAGAGAGGCCTTTTCTATGTTTCAGTCATCCCCAGCACTTCCAGTGTGTTATCTTTACCACAAGTTTACATGGCTGGTCTCTGGTTTTTTATTTTTTGGGTCCAGTCGTGGGGCCTGAACTCTGGGCCTGGGCGCTGTCCCTCAGCTCTTCAGCTCAAGGCTAGCGATCTACCACTTGAGCCACAGCACCACTTCCGGCTTCTTTTTTTTTCTTATGTGGTGCTGAGGAATCGAACCCAGGGCCTCAGGCATACAAGGCAAGCGCTCTACCACTGAGCCACCTTCCCAGCCCGGCTGGTCTCTATTGGATCTGAGATTATTGTCTGCTAGACTTTGTGTTTCTAGTGCCTCACTCAGGAATCAAAATATATAGGTAGATAACTTGTGTATTGAATAACAAAAAGACTAAATCTCCCAGTCTTTCTTTTCTTTCTTTCCTTCTTTCTTTCTCTCTTGTTCTTTCTTTTCTTTTCTTTTCTCTCTCTTCCTCTCTCTTCCCTCCCTCCCTCTCTCCCTTCCTCCTCTCTTCCTTCCTCCTTTCTTCTCTCCCTCCTTCCTTCCTTCCTTGCTTCTTCTTTCTTTCTATTGACAGGGGACAAGAGAAAGTAATATGTAGTTATCCAATAGAGAGTGATCCCAGGACTTACTAGGATACCAAAATCCATGAATCTCTAGTCTTAAAAAAATAAAATAAAATAAAAAAAGGTATAGAGCTGGCTCACATCTGTAACCCTAGATACTTGGGGAGTTGAGATCTGAGGACTGAGGTTTGTAGCCAGTCTTGGCAGAGAGACTCTTATCTTTAATTAAACTAGCACAAAGCCAGACATGAAAGTAAGAGCTCTGGGTCTGGAACTCAAGCCACGTTACACACACACACACACACACACACACACAGACACACACACACACATAGATACACACACATGCACACACACAGACACACACACATGCACACACACATACACACACATGCACACACACAGACACACACACGCACAGACACACACACAGAGTATTTGCATGGAATCTACACACATCTTTCCATAGAGGTCTTCTGTTATATTTTTCTTGAGACAGGACTTGCAATGTTGCCTAATCTTCTCTTACACTCCAGGCCCTTTGAGGCCAATCTGGTCTACACAGCAAGTTCAAGGCCAGCCTGAGTTACGTAGTAAGACACTGTCTCAAAAATTAAAACAAACAAAAAAAATTAAAACAGACAACAAAACCAAAACTCTCAGCTCCCACTATCCTCCAGCCCTAGCTCACCTGAGTGCTGGGACTGCCAGCGTGTGCTACCACAGCCAGGTCTTCTATACTTTAAGTGATCTTTAGATGACTTACAATACCTAGTATAGTGTAAATGCTAAATAGCTGTTATGTTCAATGAATCTTTGGTTATTTAAGAACACCAAGGAGCCAGGTGCCGGTGGCTCATGCCTGTAATCCTAGCTACTCAAGAGGCTGAGATCTGAGGAACACAGTTTTCAAAGCCAGCCCAGGCAGGAAAGTCCATGAAACTCTTATCTCCAATAAACCACTAGAAAACCAGAAGTGGTGTTATAGCTCAAGTGGTAGAGCGCTAGCCTTGAGCTGAAGAGCTGAGGGACAGCGTCCAGGCCTAGAGTTCAAGCCCTATGACTGATACACACACACACACACACACACACACACACACACACACACACACACACACACACACACACACAAAGAACAGCAAGGAGGACAGAATGACAAACACACAGTGATTGGAGGGGACTGTGGGGTCCCCTGGAATTGAGACAGTAGGAAGGAGTATGGGCTGCTTCATTGCAAGTGCAATCAGTAGGAGCTCCTCTAGCCACTGATGTCTAGGAAATGGATTCAATCATACACACATTTACATCTTTTAAGTCAGGAGGCCACATATATTATTTAACTCATAAGAAATATCTATCAAACTGGGAGAGAGTGAAGGAAGGAGTAACATTGTCCAAAAAGAAGTATATTCTTCACCTGAGTTATGTAAATAACCTCTCTGTATAACACCTTTATAATAACAATAACAAAATTTAAAAATAATAAATAAAAAGAAATCTTTATCACATTCAAAAATCCTCCCCAGATACCTTTAGGAGAGGAACCTAAAGGCATAATTCCTCTGAATATTTAAAATACTATTTATTTACATGAATTCCAGCAGGGTGCCAGTGGCTCATGCCTGTAATCCTAGCTACTAAGGAGTCTAAGATCTGAAGATCACTGTTTGAAGCCAGCCCAGGCAGGAAAGTCCCTGAAACGCACATCTCTAATTTAGCACCAGAAAACTGAAAGTGGCACTATAGCTCAAAGTGGTAGAGTGGTAGACTTGAGCAAAAAGAGTTTGGGGACAGTGCTCAGGCCCCAAGTTCAAGCTCCATGATACACACACACACACACACTCTCTCTCTCTCTCTAGGAAATAGAAGCATAGTTTTGTTGTCATTGGTGGTGGTAGTGCTGGTAGTGTTTTGTTTCTTGTTTTTTAGTGTGTCGTTTTTTTTCTTTTTTGCTTTTGTTTTTGAGGGCTTTTTCTTTTGAGGTGCGCAGAAAGGGAGGCAGGAAGGATGAACAATGTGATCATGTTATTCACTCTTCGGTATTTACTATATAGAAATGAACTATGTAACTTGTGGGCAGGGACAAGAAAGGGAAACTGGAGGATAACATTGTCCAAAAAGATTTGTACATGTTACCCGACTTACAAAAGGGTAACGACACTGTCCAACACCTGAATAATAACAATAAAATTATGTTAAAAAAAATCCTCCCCAGCGAACTCTGGCTCTCAGCTTTCTCATCTGTAAAATGAAGGTAAGCCAGCTGTGGTGGTACATGCTTGTAATCCCAGTACTCAAGAGGCTGGTATAGGAGGAGTGTAAGTTTAAGAGTAGCCTGTTTACATAGTGAGACCCTGTCTCAAAGGAGAAAAACAGTGACTGATTCTGATGTCATGCTTTGTCTACATATTTTGATTCCTTATGAACAAAAAGCCTAAAGGAATAGAAGCCAGCATAGAAGGTTCAGTGGCCCTGTAATGCAGTGATATTCTCCCCAGAGATGAGGAGTCTTCCTCTAAGTTGAGCATTTGCCTTGGGAATGATCTTGAGAAAGTCATGAAACTCTTTGGAACTGTTGTTTTTTGTTTTTGTCATTTGTGGGGCTTGAACTCTGGGCCTGGGTGCTGTCCCACTTTGAACCACAGTGCTACTTCTGGTTTTCTGGTGGTTAATTGGAGATGAGTCTCATGGCCTTTCCTGCCCAGGCTGGCTTTGAACCATTCTCATATCTCAGCCTCCTGAGTAGCCAGGATTACGGGTGTGAACCACTGGCACCTTGCATGGAGCTTTGTTTTTGAATCTCCAACATCAAGCTCCACTGTGCACAGTCAGTTTCATAGAATCACTGTGTTGTAACCCAACTTTGTTTTCAGAAAACAATCTTTGACTACAATCTAGTCACTCATGGTATAGATTCTATGTATTTTAATAAAAATTGATATCATGGACATTTTTCTGTTGGGGAAGTACATGGAATGCTATGCACATATTAAAAAGAATGAGGCCAATTTATAAATACAGACATGGAAGATGTCAGTGGCTAAGTTACAAAATCCGGTTGTCAAAGCTCAATAGTAGAGGGCGTGTTTGATTGCAAAATATGTACCATATGATTTGTTTTTTAACAAGAAAATAATGTGCACACATGCACATTAATGCTGTTATTAAGATAGGTCGGGCAAAAGGATCTGTATTTATCTGGTAGAAGTACCATCTATAACAAAGTAACACAGACTGGGTGGCTCAAACCACAGATATTTATCTCCTTCATTGTAAGATGCTAGAACTCCAGGATCTGGACTCTCTCCTTGGCCTGTAGCTCTTGTCTTCTCCTCATCCTCTCATGATCTCCCTCTGTGTATCAGCCCTGATCTCAAAGACACAGTCAGGTCAAAAAGGTCTATCATAATGACTTTGTTTTATCGTAAGTACCTCTTAAAGGTCTTATTCCATGAACTCACATGACTCACCTGATTACCAGGTACACGATTTGCGGGGAGGGGGAGGAGACACCACTCAGCCTATAGCAATGTGGTATCTGAGATCAAATAGATAGATGCTCAGGAACTAGTTGAAAAACTGAGTGAACAAAGCAGGGCCTGGGCACTATCCCTTATCTTTTTTTCAACTCAAGGCTAGTATTCTACCACGTAAGTCACGGCTCTACTTCCAGGGTTTTGCTGGTTAATTGGAGATAAGAGTCTTATAGACTTTCCCACCTGGGATGGTTTTACACTGGTTCTCAGACCTCAGACTCTTGACTAGCTAGGATTACAGGTGTGAGCCAGAATTGCTTTCTTTGCATGTGAGATGAAAAGTTGATGGGACACTTGAAATGAGCAAAATCCCAGAAAGCCTGAGCTCTAGAGAAAGGAGTCCAGCTCCAAGCTTGAAGACGGCCTTGAGCCAAGGAACGACGTGGTGGTGGTGATGATGATGGTGATGATGATGATCCTTGTGGGCGCTCTAGACCGTGGCTGGTCTGTTCTGTGGTTTGGAGCCTGAGGGCAGGGAGGTCAGCCGTGAGGCTGTGTCAGTCATTCCAGGTAAGCAGTGGCCAGGGTGGTGGCTACAGAATAAAAGCTGGAGCGATGGGTGTGGCTGCTGGTGTTCTTAGCTCTTGCACCTGCTGATGCACCTGCGAGGACTGCATTCCACCCTCACCGGGAGAACAATGGGCCCCCTGGAAACCTGAAAGGCAGTGGCTACTGAAGCTGTCTAACATGAGCTCATAAATCCTAGAACAGCAGCAATTGCAGGCCAGCCACTCCTTTTGATTCCTGGTCCACTGGGCTCCACCCTGGCTCTGTGGCTAGGGGCCTGCCTCTTCTGCAGCAAAGGTGGTTTACAATGAAAAGGAGATTTTTCATAGATTCACAGAGGCAATTATTAAGCTCACTCCCACTGGGGTCTTGGATCTTGCTTCATTGCATCATTTGTGCCTTTAGTCTGTTTTTTTTCTCTTCCCCCTCCTCCAACCTTTGGTGGTAATGAGGTTTGAACTCAGGGCCTCCAGCTTGCTAAGCAGGTGCTCTGCCACTGGAGTCATGCTCCTAGCTGTTCTGCTTTTCTTTTCCCTTCAGGAAATGGATCTCAATTGTATTCCATGCAGCCCTGCATGATTACTGCAATCACAGCTGCTGCCTCTCAGCTGAACCCCACCACACATACTATCTGTTCTACAAAACACACCACACTGCTAAATAACAACCGTGCCACGCTTCAGATATTTGGTACATCGGCGTGCCATGCAAACTCCCCTATCAGACTCTAAACTCCTTGAGGTTATAAATGTAAGCTTTCTTGTGTGTCTGTTACACTGCCTAAATCAGTACATAACAAATTCTTAACAAATTCATACTCACCAACAGCCAACAATCCAAAGACCTATGTAGAATTTTTACCTTAGCCTAGAACACAAGCTAAAAGGCCGGACATAGAAAACAAGTGTATAAATTCAAACATGTAGAAAGGAATCTTTTTTTTTTTTTTGCATGTGTGCCAGTCCTGGGGCTTGAACTCAAGGCACACGTGCTGACTTTTCAGCTTTTTCGCATTTGAGCCACAGACCCAACTCTGGATTTTGTGTGTGTGTGTGTGTGTGTGGTTAATTGGCAATAACAGTCTCATGGTCATTCCTGTCCAGACTAGTTTTGAATGGCAGTCCTCAGATCTTAGACTCCCGAGTAGCTATGACTATAGGCATGAGCCATCAACACCCCACAAGAAAGAGATCTTAAGTCCCAGCCTTACCAGCTCTCCTCCCCTTACCCTCTTTTCTTTACACACACACACACACACACACACACACACACACGCACACATACACACATTTGTTTGTTTATTGGCAGTACGCAGGCTTGAACTCAGGGCCTTGCATGTGCTCAGCTTGCTTACACAGCTGGTACTCTACCAGTTAAGCCACATTTCCAGCTTTTGTCTTCTTCTCTTAACATAGCTCAAATTAACCCAAGACAAAGCATCTTAGGCCTCTGGAAGGAGCTTCTCAGGTAGGAGTTCCAGGCAAATGTGTCCTCCCCTGCATAATGTTGGTGAAAGGGAGGAGGCTCTTGGCAGGAGATGGTTAACCTGCCTTCCAGGCAAGACCAACACTTTGACAAGGGTCATGCAGAGGACCTAAGAGGAGCTGACCCCAGGCAGGCTCTGGTTGTTGTTGTTTATCTTAAAAATATAAAGGCTAACCTAAAATTTATGTGGGATTGTATGGGTTTTCTAAGAGCCACAAGTTACCTTTGTGTGCGTGCACGTGTGTGTGTGTGTGTGTGTGTGTGTGTCTTCAGTGCCAGTCTTGAAAGCCATAAGCTATCTTAAGAGAGAAGAAAATTAGAGCAATCCTACACCTCAACTTCAAAACTACAACAAAACATAACTTTCATCAAAACTGAGTAGTAGCTGGATGATGATGGCTCATGCCTGTAGTCCCAGCTATTCAGGAAGCTGAAAGCTGAGGATTGTGGTTTGAAGCTAGCCCAGGCAGAAAAGTCAGTGAGACTTATCTACAGTTAACCAGGAAAGAAAGGAAGAAAGGAAAAAAGGAAGAAAGGAAGAAGGAAGGAAGGAGAAAGAGAGAGAAAGGAAGGAAGGAAGGAAAGAAGGAAAGAAAGAAAGAAAGGAAGGAAGGAAAAAATGGAGGAAGGGAGGGAGGAGGGAGGGAGAGAGGGAGGGAGAGAGGGAAGGAGAGAGGGAAGGAGGAGAAAAAGGAGAAAGAAAGGAGAAAGAAGGAAGAGGAGGAGGAGAAAAAAAGGAGGAAGAGGAAGATAAGGAAGAGGAGGGGGAAGAAGAGGAAGAGGAGGAAGAACAGGAGGAGGAGGAGGAAGAAGAGGAAGAGAGGAGGAGGAGGGAGGGAGGAGTGAAAGGAGGAAGAGGAATGAGCAAAGGACTCCAATAGATATTTCTCTAAAGAATATATACAGATAAGCACATAAAAAGTGCTCAGATCACTAGTCACTAGGCAAATGTAAAATAAATTAAAAACCTCAATGAGATACCACTTTAGAGCCACTAGGATGTCTGCTATAATTTTTTTTCTGCCATACTGGTGTTTGAACTCCATGCCTTGCACTGAGTTTCTATTACTTGAGCCGTATGCCAGCCCTTTGTGCTTTCCTTAGAAAATCACTTTTGCCCTGGTCCAACCCAGACTGTGATCCTCCTGTTAATGCATTATGTTCCCACTTTCTGCTTAGAAGATGGCAATTTACAACCACACCCTGCTTATTGACTGAGATCTTTTGTTACTAACATTCTGCTTGGTCTGAACTTGAGCCATGATCCTCCCAATGTCTACTTCAAGAAATCCTAGACTCACCATAGCTGGCTAAAAAACTTTTTACAAAGCATAAACTGATAAGTGTGGTGAAGATGTAGAATAATTAGAATATTAGTACATTAGAGATGGAAGATGGAGATGCAGCCATGTAGAAAATAGTTTGGCCTTTTCTCAAAAAGTGAACAGAGCTAGGTGTGTGGCTCAAGTGGTAGAACACCTACTTAGCAAGCTCAGGGTATCAGCCCAACCAGCTCCCTTCCCGTAGCTTAGCATACTCCTTCCCCTATCCACAGCTTAGCAAGTTCCTTTCCTAGGCAACACTAGCCCCGTGTAGTAAAGGCTTCCATCCCACCTTTACCTTGGGATGGCACTCCTCTGGGGCAGCTACCACCATATAAGGCAACAGGAGCCCTTAGAGTGACCTTCAGCTCTGGGCAACTTCAGGGCCTCTTATCTACTACTTGGGCAGAAGCCATAAATCTTAATCCACATTGATGAAGCCCCTGGCCCTCACATCCACGCCAGGGGCTCTGCCTCCTAGCCCCTTCTAGTCCCTCCTAGCCTCAGTAGGTTATATGCGTCACCTCAGACAAGAGCCAGCACTTCTTCTCACTCCTCTCTTGTGAGAAGGGTCTTGACGGTCCCTTGACCAGCAATAAGCTTTTTCTTTGTTCTGTGTACCTGGATGTCTGCATGGTTTTCTGGCAAAGTCTAATAAACTGTAACACAAGGTCCTGAGTTCAAACCCCAGTACATAGGGAAAAAAAAGAAAATAAAAACTAACATATAATTACCATATAGCTCAGTAATTATATCTCTAAAGCATTAAACTAGAAACTTACTGAAACAAGCCAGATATACAAGGACAAATTTATTATGTGATTTAATTTACATGAAATATCTAGCATACGAAGATTCATAGACACAGAAAGTATAACAGGCTCCTAAGGCCTGGGGAGGGGAGCATAGGAAAGAATTGCTTATTACTTATGCTTTCAGGGATGGCTGAAAATAAAGCTTGAAATGCAATAAAGAAATTGCCAACTATACAACTAATATAAGCTAATAAAAATATAAAATAAAGGTTTGGGTTGGGTTATCAGTGGTGCATAACTATAATTCAAGCTACTTAGGAAGCTGAGACCTGAAGATTCAAAGATTGAAGGTAGCCTGGGAAGAAAAGCCCAAGAGACTAGCATCTCTAACTAACTAACAAAAAGCTGAGCTGGAGGCATGGCTCAAGTGATAAAGCACCACCCTTGAACAAGTAAGCTGAGTGAATCCTCAAGACCCTGAGTTCAAGCCACAATACCAACACACACACACACACACACACACACACACACACTTACACAGAGTTTTAGAAATAGATAATGGTGACACTTTATAAATGTACTTAATTCTATTGAGTTATACACTGAAAAAAGTATAAAGACAGCAATGGGATGTGTATTGGGAATGTGGGTGGTGATAGCCAGCTTCTTAGTCTAGTGTTTGCAGATACCAAACTATGCTTGAGCACATCAAAGCCATGAACCTAAGAAAGTAGAACATTTCAGCCCTAGAGTTCAAGAGGTTGTCCTCAGGCTTTCCGAGCCTCCTCAAGAGGCTGTGAGCATCATCTCCAAGGTCACTTTCTTCACCAAGGTTTTAAAATTCTGGTGGCACTTACCTTCCTCTGCTGTGTGAAGCCCAAGTCCCATATCAAATGAGGAAATAAGTAAATTTCTAATAATAAATGCCTGAAGCGTGCTGAGCTACAAATCTTCAGTTCAGCCTTTCCTAGATCAAAAAAGAAGAGCTGGCCAGATGCTGGCAGCTCACGCCCATAATCCTAACTACCCAAGAAGTTTGGAAGCCAGCAGAGGCAGGAAAGTCTCCAGGAGACTCTTATCTCCAATTAACCACTCAAAAAGCCTA